CACACACACACACACACACACACAAGTGTAAAAAGTAGCCATTTATTCTTATTGTCTATGCTGTCAATAAATTATTAATTGTAAGATAAATTAATATTAGAAAATTTTAACATATTTTTGACAAATTCAAACCAGCAAAAATAACTTTTTTCAATTTAATTTAAATTAAATTATAATTATATATACATATAAATAATATAAAGTATATTTACCCATTTGTTGTATACTAATTGATCCAGTCATTTGGATCAATTAGTATACAATTTTCATTTGTGTGTGTGTGTGTGTGTGTGTGTGTGTGTGTGTGTGTGTGTGTGTGTGTGTGTGTGTGTGTGTATATATATATATATATATAATATTATATATATATATAATATTATATATTTATATATAAAATATTATAATAAATAAAAAGAATATCATAAGAATATATATTTTGGAACGTATACGTTGATTGTTACATTTATCAGGATATTGATTATATCAATATTTGAATCTAAATTTGTATCAATTCGAACGTCGGAGAGATAATTCTTGTATTGTAATCAGTTTCTTATCGTCAGTGTATATGACAAATAATACTTTTCTGCTTTATATATAAATGTGTGAATTGTTATCAAAATTAAACGGCAAATATAGCAGCGGATAAGAATATTTTATTATTTGATATAAAAGTACTTGTACCTATGAAACAAAACGACTCTAAGCCTGTATTTATAACATTTAGTATAAATACCTTATATTCGATGTGATGATGAATAGTGTTCGATAGTCATCTATTTAAATGTGTTGCATGACACAGCAATGAATGATTTATACGATTGACCTATGTCTCATTTTACAATTACAATTTTTTAATACGTGGAAGAATGTAAATTAAATGATTTTGATTATTATACTTGGTGTAAAAAAACTTTTAGTAAAATTTTCTTTAGTTATGAGTGTTTAGTGTTATAAAGAGTTGTATAAAATTGTTATGAACATTATAATTAGTAATAAAAATTTTATAATGCCAAGAATAATTTCTTAATTCTTTTCTTAACCATATATATTAATATAAAAAAATTGTAATTTTTGTTAAATATATTTTGCAATCTGGCAGATTATAGTGATATACAAAACAAGTAAAAATGATCAATCTTTCACATTACGAAAAATTTCTACAATTCATCAATTTGTCTTAAAAACAATCTATTCGTAAATATTTTAATTCAATCATCGTATTAAAGTTTATAAAAAAATTAACATCAATCTTTTGGTTTTTATTTTGGTTATAAATAATTATAAATTAAATAAGTTCCCGCATAAGTGATATAAATAGCAATCAGCATAAGTATATTTACAATCATATCATGTACACATAATTATTTAACTATATTATATATCTCAATAATTTTTCAACGTAGTTATACAGCGTTAAATTATCGTAATACATAGGATGATTTTGTGTATTCAACGTATACAATTATTCTGACTTAATATTTTGTTAATTAGCATTATCGAAAGTGTCTTTAATGTTTTACAAGTTATAATAAAGATGTTTTCATAGGTATGTGTGTGGACTGTAGTCAGAATTAATAAGAGAAACACAGTAATATGTAATACATTTGCAGAACTTTCTCCTTGCAATTTCATCGTCTTTTCATTTACAAAATCAAATGCGGCTACATCTCAACAACTAAATTATTGTCGGGAAAGTGTTAAATGTAGCAGTGATTTTATCTAAAAGATAAACTGATTAAGTTAACTTAATCAATCGAGAATATCGCATAACGCGACGATAATTTACAAAAGATACTATTTTCTTTTCAATATAACCGTGTGAGAAATAGTGAAATAATTAAAACGAAAGATGTCAATACGACGGAAGATGCGGAATCACTTTGAGGTTTATGCTCTCGTATCCATTTTTCAAGGTCATCTCGATAAGCTTTGATCCAGGCACGGTTGTCTATCGCGACGTGTATCAATTCTTCAGCCTTTACTACCCCCAGCAGTTGGCTGCGTATGAGTAGAGACAGCTGAAATATTTATATTAAACATTTATATTAAACATTTTTCTAAAATTATTAACACTGAATTAATATTATTGAATTTCTGCGATATAGTGCGCAGTTGACAATACTCGACTACATTTTGGAGATGCAATGTTTCGCGGAATTGTGAAACACCTAATCACTCCACTCTCAGATAAGATACGAGAGTGCGATCAAGGACGAAGATAGAAATAAAATGTCTCATAGGTTCTAATTACTAAAATTTAGTTACACAAAAGATACGTTATCATGACGTGATGTATTCACATATATGGCACTTAATATTTGTAGCGGCTTAAAAATATGAATATGAAGCAATGTGACTAAAAATATTAATGCTTTGAAGCTAGCCATTAATTAAATTGTATTGCTAAAATTATTATTATAAAAATTGATTTATATATAATATATGTGATGTAAATATTGAAAAAAATAAAAAGTCCTTCTCATAAAAGCGATAAAATTTTCTTTTTCTTATTTAGTAAAAATATATATAAGAGATTTTATAAAACAAAAATTAATAATATTACCTCTTCATATTGTTGTGAAGTTGTAACTTTATTAGCGAGTTTACTGAGGAGTGCAGTAAGTTTTGTGTCATCTTGTTTGGTTCTGTAAAGAGATATTATCAATTATTATATTATCAATTGGTTCATAGTTCATTGTACATTATCAAAGTACAAAGCAGTAAAAAACTTAAATCTAACTTACATCTCTTCGATTTTTTTGATATTATTGTTGATGAATTTCATAAGAATGTCGAAAGATCCGGCGTTACCCATGGATATCGAATTCATTGCATCAAAAATATTGACGACGGGCTCGTTCTGTAGAGTTAACTCAAGGAATGCTTCCGGAATACCTTTTGTTTTAGCGCAACCAAGAGCAGCCAGAAGTTCTGCCTTTTCAGTCTTATCTTCGGTGTTTTTGTACTTTTCTACTACTTTGTTCCATTTTTCTCTGTCTGTATTCCGTCTCAATGCGGCGCAAAGAATTCCACTTCTCAAGTTTACGTCGAGGCTGAACATACACGATCGGCAATTATCAGATTGTACATAGATTAGATATATAAAATATTATACAAATATTAATTTTATATATTTGTATGTGCACGTTTAACTCGTTTTGTAATGCGGAAATTTTTAAATTTACAGATCTTTTTTTTAAAATAATTTCATTTTTTTTTTTAAAACGTATTTAACACTTTAAAATGTATGTTTAACATATCTCTTTCTATATGATAATTTCATGCAAAGTCTTAATGTTTATGCAACAAATAATAACATAATTGTAATTATTAATTTATCAAACTTCAAATAAATTTTTGGACTTACTTTTTGTCAGTTTCATTTTCTTTCTTATTGAGCCAGTCATTGAACTTCTTGGTAGCAAAGTCTTCGCAATGCTTCAGTCCATATCGGCAAGCCGTATCTAATGCCAACACTTTGGCAAGTTTATCTACATGTGAACCTGGTGTATTTGGATCTGTATAATTGGTTGTTTTTGCGAAATTTTCTATCTTATGAGCGACGTATTTCTGAAAATTCAGGATAAGATTAGAGCGATAATCATAAACATTTTCTTTTCTGCCACTAAAATAGATATCTATAATTAAGACACATTATTTTTTTATTCAACTTACATGATATGTTGAGTGCTCTTTCGCGCCAAATAATAGGCTATCCAGATAATTAAATGCCCTGACTGCGGCGTACCATGGGATGTAATCGGTTTCATTTCTCAGATATATAGTAGTCATCATCGAAATGTTATACGACAAATATCCCGCACGCGCGAGATTTAATGCGTCATCGATCAATTGGGCGCGATTGGTCGCGTTTATATTTTTGTAGTTAGGCGAATTTAAATATTTCGCTAAATACTTCCAGTTATCATCATCGTAATTCACACGATAATATCCTGTAAAAGAATGTTATTCAATATTATTGCGTTGTATTCAATCTTTGATCATTGTTTTTGCTATAAATTTGTTCTTGCATATGTAATTATAAAAGGAGTCAAAGAGTCATAAGTATGATAAATTAAATTAATTATATTATCTGTTTTATTATATATGACATAATTTTATTATATAAAGAATTAGTAAAAAATTGAAAATAAAAATTGAAGTTTGTTACATATATCTAGATAATAATTAAAAAACATTTTTAAAATACAAAGCTTACTTCGAAACGATATGAGACTTGGACTATTTTCGTAGTTGTGAGAATAAGTCTTCAACTGTCTTTTTATTTATAAAAAAGAATCTGAACACAATGTTAATATTGAAATAATTAAATAAATTGACAAATATACGTATCATTAATTAAACGTGAAGATGGTTTAATTAAAAACTTACCAGTTTGATCTTTATTGAAAAGTATCCATTGTTCCTTATTCGAATGTTCGAAAGTTTTAGATGCTCCGGGTACCAACCAGCTATTTTTTTATCTTTAGGCTGCACGTCATTGTACGCTGCTTCTGTTACATAGGTAAGAGGTACGTACCATTGAGTCTGATCTTGTTTCAATGGTTTCACCAAGAAAAATCGTTCCTGTGTTATATTAAGTACCCCAGTATTGTCCCGTTTAACGTTGATAACAGGATATCCAGGTTCGTATATCCAGTTGTTCATAACTTTTGTAAGATCAACGTTTTCCGGCAAATAATCCTTCAATTTCTTCTCTCCATCGGATTTTTCGATGGAGGTAAAGAGATTTTTAGGCTCAACTGAATTGTTTTCACTGAAATTAATAATTGTGTGATTATATTATCATTTTATTAAGTATATCTTCCAAATATTGCAATTATATTTAGTAATTGTTACAAATAACGTTAAAAAAATAATTGTATTAAAAAGTGCCGCACAAAAAATAATATATTAGTTTAATGCATGTAATATTTATAAATAATTTAATGTATTATTTAATACATGTATGTTTATTGTATGTTGATAGCTTAGAGTCCTTCTTGTTCTGGTAAATATGTAATAATTATAATAAACTTACTAATCACGTAAATACGTATTAAGTCCTTTCTTGAATACATCTTTTGATAAAAATTCTTGCATCATATGAAGAATAGAAGCACCTGCAAAATTGAATAATATAAATTAGATGGTTTATATTAATAAATATATGTGTCATTTTTCTTATCTATCTACTTAGAAAGAAAATAACTTATTTACCTTTTTTGTAGGCAATGTCATCAAACAAGCCTTCAATTTGAGTAGGGGTTTGTGCACTGATTTTAGGACTCAATGCACGAGTTTTAATACTTGCATCGACAACGAATGATGATGCTTGTGTATTTTTAACAACAAATTGTTCCATAAGACGCCAATTTTGTTTCTCATACTGCAATTTAAATTTACGTTTATTTCGAATGATGACTTTATTATTTGTTATAACAACATTAATGCTATAGTTCCATTAAATAAGTTTTTCTGAAATATCGATAAGCTTTGGTATGGAGTTTTGTAATGCGATAAAATCAATCTATTATAATGTAAATAATATAATGTAAATATATTTTTTTACATAGAATTTTTTTTATTAATTTAATTTTTTTTATTTGGTAATTGATTCTTATTCTTTAAAGAGAGAATGCACAGTAAATTTTTATCGTTTCAAAACAAAATATTTAATATTTGAAAAACTTACCATTTTTGGAATAACCTTATCGACAATATAATATTGGAAGAAAGTGGCAAATCCTTCATTTAGCCAAATATGATCCCACCATGAACAAGTGACTAAATTACCAAACCACTGATGAGATAATTCATGTGCTATTATTGTCGCTATCTGTTGCCAATTTGCCACAGTTGTTTTATCCTTCATTAAGAGAAGTAGAGATTCCCTTAAAAATAAATAATATAATTAATTTTAGTGCATTTTGATGCATTGCTACATTTATCAAAATTATTTTAATGTATAATATGTAAATTAAAATTACATTTTGAAAAATTGATTGTAATTAATTTTAATTACAATGTTTAAAATTATTTGAAATTGTAAGTTTAATAAAAAAATCGATTTGTTCAGATTAAACTTTAATTAATAATTTTTATCAATATATTACCTGTATGTTACAAGACCCCAATTTTCCATAGCACCGCCTAAATGTGGAATTGCAACTTGATCCATCTTAGGCATCTTTTGTCCGTTATAATAATCGATACCAGTAAAATCTGATAGTTCTGTCAGTACTTCTTTTCCATATTCTAATGCAAATTGTTTTGAGTCATCCTGCACCGTAGGATTTGCCCAAACTTTAAAATTACTAACATTATTTGGTAGACTATTAAAATCCGAAACTACAAAAGCCACGAGATAAGTGGACATTTTTGGTGTCGGTTTAAAATTAAAAGTTTTATCTTTTTCATCTTTATTATCTCTCTGCATATTTGAAATTACATTGTAATTTCCATTTGGAGGAACTGTAATACTAATGGTAAATTTTGCTTTTAAACTGGGTTCGTCCCAACATGGAAAGACTCGTCTTGCACTTACTGGTTGAAGATGAGTGGTTGCAAGCCATCTGTAATTTACAAATGATTATGTTATACATAAAATAATAATAAATAACTTGTTATTTTTTATGCGATCATTTGTTCTTAAAAAGAGGCATTTATCTTAAATTCAATTTTCATCAATAAAAGATTCAATATAACATTAATAATTTTTTAAAAAGTACTAAAATATTTATTCTTTTCTAGAGATAGAATTATTTGATTATGATAGATAGTTTTGATAGAGAAAATTTACAAATATAGTAGCTTAATAATTCTTTTAAATAGGAAATTAGCAAGATTTTCCAATTTATTTAAATTTATAATGACTTAACTTTTTTAAAATGCTTGTTCAATTATTTAATTTACAATTGCCAACATATACATATTTTTAACAATTGTAAGATGATAAGATTTACTTACGATATAAAAACTTTAGTTTTAAATTTAGCAATTTTCAGTAAAAAATTTGAATAAAAAATTTAATTATTGCTTTGTCTTACTTTGTTTGTTTGTCTTTATCTTGATAAAAACTTTTGTAAAATCCATGAAGCTCATCATTTATCTTCCCAGTATATGTTATATTTAATTTTACGTCTTTCATGGTACTGGAAAGTGTGTTCTCGAAATTGAGCGTCACAAAATCCTTTTCTTTGTCTATTGTCACATTCGGTCTAATTGATGGTTTTTTCTTGTCTTCTTGTATCAATTCAATTTTAAGAATGTTAAGTTCCATAGCATGGAATGTTATGGTATTTGTATTTTTTTTGATAGTAAGATCGATTACAGATACTCCCTTAAAAGTAAAGTTTTTTTCTTTGGGTTCAAGGAACGTTTCCAGTTTAATGTTATATGCGGTAGGCTCTACATCATCTGGTAATCTATAATTCTCCGAAACTTTTTGCATGGATTGAGGAGGCACATCTTCAGTAATAGGATCGCTTGCCCAGCAAGTCGCTAGGGCAAGCATCAAAGGCAGCAGGAACCTCATCATTGATACCGTATCTATGTAAACAAAAATAATTTGCATAAACATCAATCCTATCTGTTCTATTTTGTTACTTAATTATAATTAAGACATAATTAAATAATAATCACACATACTTGAATAGTGATAGTGAGTATTTTTATGCAAATAATGTAAGAAAAATAATTTTAAGAAAAATGTTCAACATTTATATTAATTTTTAAAAATATTTTAATCAATATTTATATAATAAGCGAAACTTTTAAAATCTATAAGTAATTTAATATTTATCTCTAAAGGAGATTGTCTAAAGGAATGCAAAAAAATTTGATAATCATAAATCAAAAAAGAGAAGAATAAATTTTATAAAAAAATTAAATATTTTATAAACTATACTGCATATTATATATCAAAATACGCAATGTCTGTTATAAAAAATATGCTTATATTATAAATTTTTATTAACGAAAATGTTATTTATAATAATTAAATATTCCATGAGAGAAATATAATTGGTGTTTTTAACGTACCTTAAAATTAATCAATGATGAAGAGCCGTGCGGGTCGACTCCTCGTCCCTGCAGAGACGAGATTTATTGAAAGACTGCTTGGCTCAAAATTTCGGGCCTTATAAAGCTGGGACAGTAGAATGTATCGTTAAAGAAAAAATATCGCTACTACCTCTAATCTTATCGCGAGGATTTTTCGAAGCAAAAAGTATTATACCTCTTCGAGGTATGAGAGGTAAGTGGACTATGCCGAACGCGACTCGCAAATTTCCGGGACAATTTTAGCATCGATACCGCTGATAACGCGATAACTAAAATACAATCCGACCAATCGATGACAGGCCCAGTCAGAGATATCACTGAGATCTAATTTTTTTATCATATCTTTTAGGACGTACCGAATGGTACTGCTTGAGCAATATGCTGCATCGATTTATAAAGAACTTGTAACGCTACACTTTTATTTTAAGTGTTACAAATCACTATTATGTATTATTTTTAAAAATATATGCAAAAAATAAAATTAATTTCTTTAAAAAAGGTTTTAAGATAAAACTGTAACAAAGATCACTTTATTCTGTGTATTTTTAATATCGATGTAACAAACAAATTATTTTGGATTAAAATTGAAACAATTAAGTTTTGTATGTTTTCCAGAATATTTAACATAATTTTTTGTAACCTTATATTTTTCTTCGAAAAAAGACAATTGCAATGTTAATTCTTTGTTCAAGCTTAAAGTGTGTGTAAATATAAATTTTATATACTACATATATAT